GCGTATATAATCGCGTCAAACTGTGCATGCATTGGCTCAACGTTTATAGACGAGAGGGCGCTGCGGTCAAATAGATGGATCCGCGAGAACAACCACTGGCTCAGCATTTCACCGACCATGAAGCAGTAATAATGAAGTCGAAACGCACACCGGAACACAGCACTACCTATGAGCAATCAAAAAAAAATCAGCACCATCAGCACTACCTATGAACGATAAAACAAATATCATCAGCACCACCAGAGCTTTGCCCCAATCAACATCATTCACCACATGAAGATGCGGTCATTTTTTTAGTTGCCTTTTCGGAAACACTTAGGTCAACCGGAACACCATATTTGACAACGCAGTACCGAACATTCGGTATTCGGAATTTTGTTCCGTCCCAACAAAACCGTCGGTGAGCTTCGCTTCAAGCCAAGCAGGAATAGAGTTCTCGAAGCCTACGGCAGAGAGCACCATTTTACTTTCACCGACAAGTCGGCAGTCGAGATCTATGACCCCTTAAGTGTTCTCAGACAAACTCGTCTTCGAAGATAAGTGAAAAAACAAAACCGAGCCCAAACCCCTCCCTCGGGTAAATGAGCGTGAAACTATGCCCTACGTACCAATTGGAGCCCCTCACTGAGGAAAGCAAAGACAGTAACACTGACTGTGACGTAACGTCCGCCGATCCCATGCACGCCCGCGTTGGATGGGCTGGGCGGTATTTCGTAGAAGCCACAAGCGCCGGCGCGTTGTGCTGTTCATCTACCTAAGTCGGTTACGTTAACGCGCCGCATTCTGATACCGAGGCTTGCCGACCGTTTCAAAGTTTCAGATATAAAGGAGCGATGCAACGATTTTGTATTTTGCGCAAATACCGCTTAGAGCGGATCCGTGACGTTAATGACCTGTGAAATACACGTTTTTTTTTTTCCACACAATATCGAAGTTGCAAAAAAAAAAGAAAAAAAGGAAGCGAGCAGAGTTCATCCCCTCCACTCGCAGCCAGAACAAGCGGCCACGTGATCTGGAGCCGATTATACGCCGCCAATGTTGATCATAGCCATGCGCAGGGGTTGGCAAGGCACAGGACACGTAATCGCGAGGCAAAAAATACAATAGTTCCCGACCTTCAGCGGCGAGCGGCGGCCATGAGAACCACGCGGCATGACGTAAATGGGGGACTTGTAAAAAGATAGGAAGTTGTGCAAATCTCCTGCTCGATAAAAGGTAATTTTTCTCTAAATCTTGTTGTTCCAACGTAAATATAAATGCGTTAAAAACCTGGTATCATCAACAAAGCTTTTATTGTACGGAATTTTTGTGGCGCAATCTATCCGAGGTCAACAAAACCGTCAGTTCTATCTGCTACCGCGAACAGTCGCCAGAAGCCAGAGGGGAAAGGGTCAGAGCCGGACGGGGATGGCCGGACCCGGACACTTTCCTCTTTTCGCCATGTTGACCCCGCTGCGCAAGCATGTGGTCACGTGGTCGCGAGCGGATGAGCCCTTGCTGCTCACTGATGGCTCTTGAGAGAGAGCTTCACCGGAACCCCGCGTGTCCCCCGTTGACGTCACAGCGCACGTGACTCGGAAGATGGTGAAGGAGTTGAGAGGTGCCGATAACCTCAATCTTTGTCAATTTTTAAAATAAAAGCTAGGTCATGCAGGCAAAAGCGGATTTTTGTTCTTTACTTCATTAGGTCGAGGAGCCAACTTCCAAATTATTTACGGAAAGCTAAATTGTTGCACAGCTCCTTTAAACGCGAATACGAACAAAAGCTCGATTTCGCGGACAGATAAGTCACATGGTCGAGGCATACGATATGCTGAAAATTACTCTCGGTGGAGCAATTCTGTAGTCATCGCCGCTTTCCTTAGCTGATCAAATCTGATTAGAGTCTAGTACTATCTCTCCGGAGCCCATAGTTTTGAATTTTAACGAAATCTCCGAAACAAAAGTTTGACATGAAAAAAAACAAAAAGCACGGGGAAAACAAAATTATGCACTGCAAGTTTATGTGCACAGGCTACACTTAACCGTCGCATTTGAAATACATATAAAATAGGGTATTAAACAAGAGAAAATCTGCTGGGAACAGGCGGCCCGGCCGAGCCGGCGCGACCTGTTCCCAGCCGCCATATTTGTATGGTGGTGGCGCCCCCTATAGGTCGCTGGAGTCGCAAATAGGTTTAAGCGGCCCTTTATCAATTTACCTTGAAAAAAAAATGTTTTGTAAAGGTGAATGTTTGTCAGCAATACTTCTGGTCAAGGGTGCCCAGATCTTTGTGCAGAACCCGAGGTTATTCGATTAAGTAAATATTTTCTAGTGCATATGTTGCACTGCATAAAAAAGGTGTGCGAAAGGAGGGACTTATATTCAGCCAACACTTTGTACTATTTCACATACAAACTTCACAGCCAAGTTTGGCTTCACAATCAAAACAGATTTTTATTGTCAGTTTCGCCAAGTTATAAATAAAAGAACCGCTAAATTTAATTGAACTTGAGAAAGAAAACGGGAAAGGACGGACAAACAAACTTAGAAGAGGCACGAATGACAACATAATGCAATTAATTGATTTTATTACTTCATAAACACTATAAATCAATAAAACCACTCTGAAACGAAAGCTCTTTTTTTTTATTTTCTTTGATAAAATCATAGCGCCAAGATGTTTCGGTGGCGCCCTCTAATGGTTTCCACTCGTGACGTGACGAGCAGAATTTTCCTCGCCGGGAGGTCGCGAGTGTCGTTCTTGCCTACTTATTATCAGTTGCGAACTGAGCTCGACCGTGTGTGTAAAAAGTACGATACAAGCTTGGAATCATCGCGTTCTTAAGTCATTATCGTCAAAGTTAATAAAATATCATAGTGAACGTTTGCCCAATCACAAATGCAGATCACAGCGACGCGTTTGAATGCCACTGTCACCAATAACCCTCATGTTTCTTTTTCCTCGAGGCAGATGTTATCTGTGTCGTTCTCTTCAATTTGAAAGTCTTTATTTGTCACCATATGTGTTGGCTGTTCCACAAAATAAATAACTATCGCCAGCTCACTAGCACACAAACTCTCTTTTGGTTAGACTATATCTTATTATCACAGAAAGATTTTATCACGATTTGGTGTATGTAATACACTCCCGTGTAATCTGTTACTGTTGATACCAGGTGTGTTGCCATACCATGCCGAAGTTACCAACACGTTTCGCACATAGTTATATATTGCATTAGGGGTATCTGGTCGTCTGACAGCACTTGTAACTTCCAGTACTCATGTCTCGAAGTTTCGGGTCCTATAGCAACTTCCGGAAAAAAAAGGCTATAAAATCCAAAACTCTGAGACTTGGTACCTGTGACTCTCGGTAACTAAGTCTCAACTAAAGCGCGATGCATGGGTTAAGAACTTGAGCGATTGTATCAAGTGGTATTTGCTGAAAGTACAAAATCGTTGCACCACCTGTTTTTTATATTCAGCTCTTTTTTTATGCGGAAAGCAATATAAGAATAACTCAGCAAGCGAGAGCAATGCTCCACGATACATAAGACTCTCGTCTGCCATTTAACAATAACAATAAATCATCGTTGAAGTGCACGACGAGTTTGTACTATAATATTCCTCAGGATTGGCTCCTTGGTACGGCGTTGATTGATGTGAGCAATACATTCACTTTTACAATGTAGAAGTTTTCTCAATTTTGTTTTTGCTGCAGCTGCTGCAGCAAAACGCATTATGTTCATTCTGCTGTGCTTGATCAGGATTGTTTCTATGATTTAGCTACTCCAGCCCGAAACTCATCAGATATTTCCCAGACATATGAGACTGTTGGCTACTCTTGAAGTATTTCAGTTGTTCTATTTATTGACAGCACAAGCCTCGATATGTTTCATTCTCGCAAACGAATGGAAATGATACCCAGGGTCGTCTTAAAAATGTAAATCTTTTGGGAACGGCGTATTCACAAAGAAAAACAATAGGAAAAAAAACTCTTGCCAGAATTATTCACGTAGTTGTCAGAATGATGCACAGCTAATACATTCATGGTGTTAAGTGGCCTTGGGTTCATGGTGCGGCAAAGAAGGCAGTCGACGTCTTGAGGGAGCCTCACACAATTACAGGTTGTGTTGAGATCACACTCTTGCATTTTAATGGCTTACTTCTAAAACAAGCCGGAGGTTCCTTCAAAAAGGAAAGCCTGAAGGGGCGTGATGGTCAGTAATCATTAAAAAAATTAATAAAACGGGCGACAAAACAAGTACGATCGAAATTTTGCGACTACCCAGATAGCAGCTAAGCACTAGTGTTTGTTGAAGGTAGAAAAGCACTCACTCACTTTTGTCCTGCCTGGGGTTAATAGAAAATATAAAGGCAAGTTTTTTTTTTCTTTTTGTAAAAAGGTGCTGGTCTTCTTAGTTGTTAATGCGATAGCCACTTTAGGGTTGCTTCATCGTAAGCACTTTGATATGCAACACGAAACGCAAATCCACGCGGAAAAAATTAGAAAATAAATTTGAAAAAGATATTCATGCCCTTCAAGCGGAATCAAACCCAGGACACCATGAATCGTTAGCACTACGTGCAAACACCGGGCCACGAGGGAGACATTTTTTTATTAAATGGACGAGCCAACGGACAAACTTTTGAAGCGATATTTATTAAGTTCCCTTTTATCTCCCTATCGCTTGCATGGACAGGTCCTGGGATGTACCGCAGTGTTCACAGCGCAATGCAAGAGGAACAAGTGGTCTAAGAAGGATGTAGCTAAACAGAAGTGTCAATCTGCTGAGGGTGACCATTTATGTTGAATGAAAATGGCCGACCATTTCACGCTCGGTTGCTTCTATAGGTTTAGTCTCAACTTAACCAGCTGCATGCTGCCTTCATAGAAGACAAGCAATGCTATCGCAATTCGACTTAGTCTGTCGCCGAGCACCGCAGCAACGCAGGCCCTTTTGTTTTATTCACAGCAACAATTGTTTCAGTCACCTATAGTAATTGAAACAAAAACATACTGATTGTATTGCTATTTTTATTGTATAAAGCAGACACCCAGTCTATCTTAGGTACTCCTCGCTATAGTTTGCTTTTTCATCACTAGTCTTTTTTTTTTTCCTCACTGCAGTGTGCAAGATTTCTTCTCGAGCTATCACACAGCACAAAGTCCTGCTGCTTTCTACACTTGTCCAAAATCACCCGCAGTGTGGTTCCGCAGATGGCTGCATTAGATACTCTACTCGTTCACATTCACAGAGCAACCAAAGAAAATTTCGAAGAACACGCTGTTGATGGTTGGAGCGAGATGCGCGACCCAGAGACGGGAGGCGTATTTGCTGAAATGTTTGTGTTATTTACATTTGTTTGCGTCATCTGATGCGCCATTTTCTCTTTTATTTACGTTGTCGCAATCTTCCCTGTCATAAATTCGGTATGTCGGATATCCACAGTTGAGAAGAAATGCGTATCGACAGCTGGACGGAAGTTCCTTAAATAAGGAATCATACAAATACGTAGTTTTACTCGAACTGCCAAGCTCCTTCTTCTCTTTCTCATTTTCTTCGCTTCCTGCTCTTGTAACGACTTGGGGAATCGTCACATTCTTTAACCAATCTTCCCTCAACCAGAATTCACAAGCTGGAAAGAAAGGACAAGAAAAGAGCGATACTTTGAGACAATGGGTAAGACGCGCATTTTAGTATATAACAGTTCGCCTAGGATAAAACAAAAAAAAACACGCGGTTTAACGGCGAAAATATAAGCATAAGTTTACCTTACTTGAAAGAGTTCAATAAAGAAGAGTACGAAGAGACTCCTATTGAATATGCACAAAAAAATGCCAACCAAGTTTTACAAACAGAGTTTAATCGTTTAAATGTGCTTTCAAAGGTGTGGCACCGAGCACTTCAATTGACTTTTCTGAGATTTTAAACGCTATGCTCATCAGTGTAGCTATCACTGCGAACTTTTGCGATCTGTAATGCTGCACTACATCACCAGTGTCCTGATTTTTAGAATCCGAACGAGTTAATGAAGGAGCACTTTCAATATTAACATGTCTATGAAAATTAAGACAAAGATTGAGCAAGATGGCTAACGTCTTTTTCCCAATCAACATGCAATAAGGAGCTTTATGCTCGTCACTTAAATAGGTTTTCTACAAGTAGAGTCAAGATAGTGAGTCAAATATAATGTAAGGAAAACCAGCCTAATTTTTCATCCGTAGCCTTTTGTCTAGGTAGAAATAAAATACTAAAATCAGAATAAACGATAGCACACGCGACTCGACCGATGGTCTCCGCTAGTGAAACTGTTTCTGCCCTTGTATTAGGGGCGTTTCACTACATTATTTTAATCGGCTGTTTTTTTTTTTATATCCTGTATTTTCACTGACGCTTCGAATATTAGCTGCAATCGGGGCGGCACAAAACTCAGATCTCCAAGCCTTATGACCCATGAAATTTGGAAGAGGAGATGTTTGTGCAGATATAATAAACTATATTGTCCTCCGGCCTATTGCTACCTAAACTGCGCACTTCATTTATGCCTTTCCTTTTTCTACTTGAGCGAAAAAAGCAAACAATAAGAGGAGTATCTTTTAATATTAGCATCGGACGAACCGTGTTCCTACACAAGCGTTGGGACTGCAATTATTCGCCAGGTTCGTGGCTGCGTGGGCTGTGTCTTTGGATCTATTTAATTTTAGCTCCCAACACTTCTTTACACTTCACCTGACCTGGTGGAATGCTTGAGTATATTCACCAACCGTCGATCTCAAAAGGAACGTTCCAGACTTGGTATGAGTAAAACAAAGAGTCATAACTTTCAGCATCACGGTAATGTGGAATCCTGCCTGCCACGCCGGCAACTACGGATCCTATAGATGTTAGCAGGGAGCCGCGCTTTAGGAGTTTGCCAGGACACCGTGGATAGAAAACGCTTTGTTTTGGTGCCACTCTGGAATTCGTGGGCACGCCTCAGCAATGCTTAACTATCATAGGATATCCCCACACATGCAGCAAGATGGCGGCGCTCAGAGGCCGTACTTGCAAGCGACTATAGATCATCTCAATAGTCACCCTCTGCGCGCTACCATACTTGTCAACTGGGTTGTCAACTGCGTTCTGAGCATGTACAGTTGCTTTCTTCCGTGGAATATCAGGCGACGCGCATGAGTCAACATCCCAGCGATTCGGAATTTTAGTCTGGGTGGCAGCGATGGAAAAGTCCATTGCTTTTAGTTTGTATGGAAGAGGGCTCTTGCTTCATTTGTATCAGTTCATTCTGAAGATGCCACTTGCATAGGTAGCAAAATATCTATCTTTTTGTTATAGCTCTTTTGCTTGAACTAGAAGTACTTTTTACACTTATCGCCCTTTGCTTGGATGAATTCTCCCGGCGTTTGCGACATTTTTACAATTACTGAACGCTTAGTTGTCGGTTCCCGGACTCCAGGTGACTCGAAAAATGTTTGAGTTGGTATTAAGGGCGAAACAACATTGAATATCTTGCTACATTTTTTTGTTTGGACTGCTCGATTGGCGAGCATCCTGATTTAAAACAGCGCGACAAAACAACAACAAAATGAAGACAAGACAGACGACAAACTGTTGTCTGTCTCGTCCAGATTTCGCGCTTGTTTTTGGTTGCACTGCTTTAAACCAAGATGTCGAATATCTTGCATATACTAAGATTCAATCACTTTATATTTACGCATAGAAAATGTTATTTATAAGTTACCGCAGTAGGTAAAATCAATTCATAATACCCACATTCATAGTCCTCTTCATTTTGCAGTGCTCTCAGTATGTGACAAAAAGAATTGCTAAATATAACGTATTTTTCTGAATATTTAATGAAGGGTCTTCGCCAACATTCCTGATGATATATGATACAGCCGTTTGCTTCACAGAGGAAGTTGAAATCGAGATTGTAGCAGGTTCCATTTGGTGATGTGGCTTTACGCTGAGGTTGCCCTTGGGAGGAAAAAATTGAAGAAAAGTTACTCTTTTGTTGGATCAAGTGGTACATTGTGAACACAACACCATAAACACGAATCGGGTTTGAGGCAAGACTTGACGTGCGGCATCAATGCCCAAGGTGAGAGAGCAAAATAAAGAAAAAATGTCACAAACAGTTGCAATTGCAGTCAACCATAAACGGCGTCAGCAACTAGACAAAACAAGTAAAGAAGACAGAAAATGGGTATGTGGCAACAGCTAAAGGTGCATTTTTTCTTAAATGAGCACACCTAGTGTCTGCAGGGTCAATGATCCGAATGCGCCGTTGTTTGAGCACGTATTCTGAGCATGTAATGGACACGAGTACCGCGGCAGCGTTTGGCAGACTCAGATTAAATCACACGCTTCGTGCCCAATAAATGGCGACGGCCAATGTTGCTCGATAAACTTTTGACGAGGGTCTATGGAACTCATGATTTCGACTAAGGCCGTCTAATTCCCACAGAGTACTGCCTCTCATAGCGTCTGCTCAACCAGAGGTTAAGACACCATTGAGCTTTCTGGTTTGTGGATGTCGGTGGCGGAAGTCTTCCATTTTCACTCCTTAAATAAAAACTAAAGAAGAAGGTCTTCCATACACCACTTCTACGTAGCTGTCAGCCTGTTATCGTCTTGACTGGCGTAACTTCTTTTATGGGCGTTTTGCTCACACCGCGGCATCAGGAGTTGCTAACATTGTAGGCAACTCTAACTCGATTTATTCTGCCTCCCCATATTTCTTATAGTTAACTCCAGCTTATAATATTTTATACTTTTTTTGTACCCCATTGACCTTCAGACCTAGACTGGAATTAGGGAAGCGTGCTCTTGTTTATCCGTGGTTCTGTATGAGGCATGCGATGATGCCATCTGCCCACAATGCGGGTGTAGACAAAGCATCCGCACTAACGGCACAGATCACGTGCAAGGGTACAAAGCACGAGCTCTTAGCACTTGATTCCAGTGCGCGAGCGCTGCATTAGCGCTTCCCATAGCTTCGGCCCCACGTGTGTCACATTCCTTTTGCTCAAGTGTAAAACAAAGCGTAGTTCTGCTTTTTCACCATATAAGCCGCGCCGATCGGAACTCGAGGCGAATACACGAACTACATAAGAAATGAAGTAAATGCAACAATTATTTAAGAAGTAAACAGTAATCTATATTCTTCTTAGAATTAAACTTACAGGGTAACACGAGATTGCGATATTTAAACATGCTCTCGCAGAGCAAACGCTGCCGCAAAAAACACGAGAAAAAAAAAAAAAACGGTACGTGTCAAAGGCAGGAGCGCCAGCTTGCCCTCGCTTTTCAAAACCTACTCCTCATGCGCCAGGCCTTGACTTTGAATTAGGGGAGTCTTAAAGCAGAAGGTAGAGACTGAGGACAAAACGCAAGTCCTGCTCAAGCTCGGAAAGATTGGAAGAAGCTGTAATTAAAAAAAAAGACCAGCCCCGCAGTGCGCACATCAAGCGCGCGCAAACAAAAAATGTTGGACGGTAACACGGATTGCTTCCATAGCAGACGGCTACCATTTTATTACTCTGAATTTCGGCGCTGCGATGTTATCATGAAAACAAGCTTGTAGGTTTAGATAATCTGAGAACATTCAGTGGCTTCGAGTTAATGTGAGAAACGTGTCAAAGGTGCATTAGACACTGCCTTTGTATGCATTATGCAGAAATGAACCGAGATTGATAATGTTATATCATATGGAACCACAATCTCATGAAAAGAACCCAATCGGAACTATTTCAAGCTTTGTTTATAACTGAATATGCCCACATAAAAAAGACAGTAAAAACGTGTTGAATTGTTTCAATTTATTCAAACACAAGAGTAACAAAATGTTAAACGTCAAACTTGAATGAAAGTTTGAATGGTAACATTTTAGTTGCGTGAGGGACCGGCATATTTTTAGCGACCTCGAGTTCCTGGAAAAGTTATACCGGTTTAAGTTTGCTGCCAAGAGTTAGATACAAAACAGCTCAGTGGCGTCTATCTAGACTAATATTGACCCCTCTGCATCCACATCAGTTATGCAAACAAGCATGACACTGTAGTAAACCACACCAAAACCATAGTAGCACTTGGTGCGCAAATATTATAAAAAGAAATATTTCCACGCTGCTGCAGCATCAAACTTATGTGAGTACTTAACTAAGTCAGCGGAAAGCCCGTAAAAAGGCATGACTGGCATTGTTAGTCGGTGGAGTGACTGCTGGCAATCTTGCAATAAAACTGTGATCGATAAAATCATAAATAGCTGCTGCACTTATGGTGCCCACCTATGCGACAACTAGTCCGCGCACAACGCTAGCCAAAAATCGTGCGGTGATGGTGTTAGCGTTAATTATTACTAGCAAAAATTAGATACGTACCCAGATACATAATATTTTCAATACTATAATCTTTTTGTTTTACAGCTTGAACATATTGTGTGCTTGATACCCTGTCGTACAACAGATGAAAAATACCAATTTGTAGAAATCTTGTTTATGTGAAGACGCTCGGTACAAATTTACGAAAAAAAAATAAGGTTTGTTAAATATTAACTATGCAATATCTTTGATGTTTTTTTTAAGCCATAGTATTATAAGTTTTAGCCATTGGGCACTTAGTCTATTTAAATTCATAAATCAGAAATATAAAGAGTAACCAAAAGTAAACGTGAACTTACCATTTAGCAGTTTGGCGTACCTTCAGATTAGCCACAATTATTTCAGCAATATGCAATAGACTTCACTCGTTCTCGATACAAAACAACTAACTTGAAATTCAAAAAAAAAAATTGGAAGTTTGCGCGCTTTAAAATTATATGAATTCCTACCAAAAGACTTAAACTTCTATCCTTCTGCGGGTCAAATCCCGGCAAGGTAATAAAATTATTCAAAAACTTTTTTTTTAAATTTTTCCTTAGGGCAATGAAATTAAACCTGAGTTTAAAAAAAATCATCATTAGTAAAAAAGAAAATAACACTGTCTTTTAACGAAACAATACTATTAAAATAAACTAAACTATTTTTCTGAACTTAGACACAATATTCTTAGCCCTAAAAACTTTGCACATGCTTGACACTATGAATGTGTCAGGTATGCGAAAGCGCTATATTTGGGAAAGTATAAATAAGAATGTTCACTTTTAAATTATTATTCTGTGAAACCTTTTTTTTTTTTTTTTAGTTCGAGCCAGCGCCCAGGGGGGGGCCGGCAACTTATATACGTTTTCAATAAACGGCCTTCTTGATTTGTTTACACTGAATGGTGGGTATCGTTTTCCCGTATTTTTATATTACTTTAATGCTACTAATTTTTCTTTTGGTTTCGCGGCCTGATCATTATCGACACATTCATGGTTTCAGTAAGTGCAGATTATACACCTTAAAGAGGGGGTGCAACGATTTTGGGGCTTTTTCCAGTTAACTGCAATAATTAGTCCGTGTCCCCTATAGAACGAAGAACACGAAACCAATTTATCTTGCGCGCGTTGTCTTGATTTAATAAAACAAAAAGAAATCGAAGGTCACCGTACCCCTCAACTCTCACCCTGTCTTTTGAGTGATGTCACTTGTACGTCTACCTTGTCTCCCGTCGGGTTAGGAACCCAGCGCACCCTCTGCGATTCCCCAATTTTTAAGGAACAGCGTCGCCAAAGTTTGCGGCGTACGGTCGACACAAGAGACTGCTCACCAAGGGGCTGACGCCGATTTTAGCAGCGGATGGGGATTGGTTTTGCTGGTGTGCTCCCAATGACGACACACCGTCACTCTTATAACTGCTACACCCGGCTTCATATCGACAAATAATGCGTTGTTTTTATTTTTGCGTTTACACAGCGGAATCGCAATATTTCAGGGGAAGGGGATGCGTTTTTTTTTTTCTTTCGTGCCAAGTCAGACTTAGCGACGTAATACGGCGAGCAATTGTGTTCCAATATCCGTTGCTGGCACATCAGAACAATGGAGGAGCATGCCAGTCAAAGGGCAACATTGCCAGAGATCGGCGAGATACAAAAGCACTTGTGCGCGTTTCGGGAGTAAACAAACGTACGAGGTATGCAAGAAACAGACGAACTTCCACGTCGTACAGTGTTAGAAAAAAGGGTATATTGTTACACCCCTGGTCTCATATACGACACCCCAAAACTCTAGTTTGAGTACAGCGCGCTGACGTCGAATCAACGTTCGCAACTTTCACAGGCAGATTGATAGCCAAGTGGTACAACTTATTAAAATAGCTAATGTGCGTAATATTGACTACTAAAAAGTAAACTGGGTTTTCTTGGCATTACTAGAAAACCTCCGTGTTGTTTTTTTTTCTACAGTCTTTGATACGTACTTTAGCTTTTTTGCTGAGGTGTATCTCACCGTTTTTAAGCACCTCGTTAAAATTGAGGCTATTTGTTCGACGTCAGCGCGCTGCACGAAGAGCTGAAGTTTTGGGGTGTCGTAGAAGGGACAGGAGGTGTAAGAATATACTTTCTTTCTGAGAGTGTATACGCCGATACCCAATCCAGATACATACCTGCTGTGCTGTTATAATAGAGTGACCAGTGTCGTATACGTATTATGGTATTGAAGAACATACCAAGATCATACGTCGAAATATGTAGAGAAAATGAGCCGTACTGATCGAATGACATAATTGTTACGTAGCCGCCAAAAGACAAATTCCCTAACGGCGCCGTGATTCGATCACGTACTCGCATCATTACCGGTCAGGTATGCTAACCACTGCACCACACCGCCTTGATTTCTGGCGTTTCTATTTGTCTTATGAGCGCACCGAACGGAATTGCAGAAAAACAGAGGTGTTCTGGAAGCACATGGTGCCGCGTGGAATGCGGTATGAAAATGTCTGGCACGTGGCACGCGCTTCTGGTGCTCCAGGGGCAGAGCCGTATTACAGTGTACTAGAATACTTGGGTAGTGTTGGGACCGGAGCGGCTCGGCAACGGGAGCTCGTGAGGGCGCGCGTATTGACAGTTCGTGGCGGCGCTGTAGTCGAGTTATCCGGAAGAAATCGCGCAGCCCTCCTTTTTTTCTTTTTTCCCTTTGAGCGGTGCACGTGGCGCCGCGGTACCACGATTTCATACAGTCCGTTTCACCTTATGTTGTACCGCAGCGAAGGCTAGAAGCGCGAGCTCATAGCGTTGGCAGCTACCCTTGGTGCACGGGAGCTTGTGCCGCCGAGATGTGCCCTAGAGCAAAGAGCTCGCGCTTGTAGCCTTTCCTGCGGTTCAACACAAGGTGAAACAGGGTACAGGGCACATAAAACAAAATAAAAAAAAATCAATATTTTCAAATCTTTTTTTTTTTTTTTTGCGGTAGGCAAAGGGTTAATGAGCGGTTTAATGGGCCATGTACTCTGTTGCAGATTGCAACAGAGTACAAATCTGCAACGGAATTGCAGATTTGAAGGGAGCCATTATTAAAGGCCAACCCAATAAAGAAAGTTCGCGTACAAACAACGAGCTTTGAGCGAAAGCAACAAGGCGCTCGTTTTCGTTGTGTTTGTCCGTCCCTTCTCGTTTTCTTCCTGAAGCTTAATTATCTCTGCCAACCCGCTCGTTCTGTCACGAGATATTTATCGCTAAAATTTTGCCTTTCTTCACTTAATTAAAAAAAACTGCGCGCTGAAATCGCGAATGAGGTTGTGCTGATATTGATGCGTAGAAGAATGACACAGTTGTTTCTGTCCCCTCATCACTAACTCGACAGTGTGTCTTCGGTGGACTCGCCGGCGCCACACATCAAGACGTCCTATTTTTTAGCCTCAGTATACATTTCAAAATAGTATATATACCGAATTATTGGCTAAACAATAAAGCAATTCAAGCACGCGATTGTACTTCAGTAAAGCTCGTGGATACGTATCGGTCTTTAAAAAGCTTAAAATCGCTTCAATGGACACTAAAAAATAAATGGTTGGATATTTTATTAAAACGTAATGCTAGAGACCTTGTGAAGTAATGAAAATACTCACATTGTTTTAGATTTTGTGTTGTACCATTTTGATGTGTATTGGGCGCTCTTCAATGTGTAATTGAGGTCACTTGTTTGCACTTGGAGGCATGTCACATCTTCGTAATGTTCTTGGGTGCCCCACCCGTTACTATACACTAGATAATAGCTCTGGTTCGCCATACACTTGATTGTCTGAAAATAGCACTATTTTTGGTAATTATTTTCAAGTAAATTAAATCCTGTCCTCTCGTATAGCTGGGTATGCATTGAAAAAGCCGCAATACGAAGACATTTCTATCAAAGCTAAGCTAAACGTGGGAAGACCACCGCACAATTTTTTTTTGCGTTCATAATAAATTCTGATTAACATCGTCAAAACGCACACTCCGCTTTCGTCCATGTAGTCTACGAGTGAAAACACGTCGTTCATTCTCTAGAAGAATAAAAGTGACAAACATATTTTCGATGGAAAAAATAGTAAAAAGGCTTTAAATACAATATTCGTGCTTGTAGAACTAATATTAATACACAAAAATGCCGAAGAAGCGAACGAGGAGACAACATTTATATTAAGTAACAACTATGGCAGCGTTGTTTTACCTTCATTCAGTATTTTTCATTCAGCTCGCCTTTAATTAAGAATATAAGCATCACACTTTATTGTGTCATCCTTTGAAATTCGTACCACCTGGGAAACCAATATATCAAGCCGCTGCCAACAAAATAAAAGTGCATTTTTTTTCAAACGGGTAAACATTAGACATTTCCGAAGGCTCACACTTCGCCCAAACGTAGCGCAAAGCGTTAGTGAAAAATAAAATTAAAAACAAATTGTAACTTTCGGCTTCCGGATATAAACGTTTAATGCAATTGACAGCAATTTTTTTACTATGCAATGGGGCTTGTTCTCAGCAGGGTCATTATTCGGGAACATGTATTCACAAGGTCATCCGGCTGGCATCTCCTCACTAATATAAACAGGATCTCGACTGAAACAACAATCGCTCCATGACAAGGCAGATGGCTAATATTGTTACAAAAATTGATATGCCCGGTGAAAATGACTCATACCTTCCACGCATCCTGCATCGCGCCAAGGTCTTTCCTGTTCAGGTCGGGATTGTTGTCCGGTGGTTTCTTCCAACTTTGAAACTCTACGTCGGCGTAGACCCCAAAAACCCTCAGACAGAACACCAAATGTTTCAGGGCTAGCATTGTTGAGGACCTCTTAAACGTAGTTGCAATATGGGCAGACGTCTTCACTTTATATCGTTTCATCGATTACGTAATTTTTGGAAGACTCGAAAGTTATTTTCATTTTTTGTTGTGAAAAGAAGCAATTACAAAAATCACGCTCTCCCACCTTTTTTTTTTTTTTTTTGATTACGTAGGTGTGTTTTCTTTATTTCGTCAGGCAATGAAGCCCCCGCTTGGGAGGATGTTTAATACCTTAAGGCTTGGCATGACATCATGCACAGCATCGACGCCTGAAAAATAACTCAATCTCGGACTGCCATGCGCACCGACGCTGCTTTTAACATCTGTTCGCCGTTCGGTAGGGTCGATCGGCTACGTGAGGCTTCGACTACGTCTGCTCCGTGCCTGTCATCTTCTTTGTCTGCCATTGTTATGGCTGGCTTTCAATACAATCGCGGCACACAATAAAGTATTGCTGTTTCACTAAATGGCGAATTAAATGAGATTTGCACATTTGTTGAGCATGAATCGCTAAAAACTTTCCATGTGAGTTTATTCATTCCAAAAAAGAATGCGTTTTTGTTCTGTCTTCTCTTACAAGACCTTCTGTTTTGCACCAGTGCTGACAAACGGCGTTTCAAAAAACAACCTTCTTGGAATGCGTGTATTTTGGCGGAACGAAAGAACTCCGCCGTTCCATCTTGCATGAATGGAACTGCAACGGGAACTCACAACGTTTCTGAAAAACATGAAAGAAGGAACGGCAATGTTTTTAATATCTATTCTAATATTTATTTAACTATATGGTAGAAATTCGTAGTCGGTGAGAGGTTACGAGTGAAGTGGGAGTTCCTCCCTTCGATTTCCACATCAGCGGAGCGAACACTTAGGCTACTTCCTCTCCAGCGTTCGCTTTTCTAAAGTGGAGAGAGATCAGAGTCGGCTTCTAATTCGCTTTTCACTTGTCACCGACTATAGGCGTTTTAATTATCGCCTATTCGAATCTCGCATTTCAAGGGATTGGGAAGTGTCCGAAAGATAGACGAATATAAAGAACTGGAACAAATGGGACCATGAGGTTGCGATGTTTCCTAACCAACTCGCCTGAACACTATTGCTTCTTTCAATTCGATACGTGGTTTGATGTGGATATCTTCTCTCTTGCTTTTTTATTTTTTTATTTAGAGGATACTACAGGCCACTGAGGCCCAAGTAGGAGTGGGGTACAACATATGCATTCGCACATACAACAACAAACAAATGACGCGGCATAAAAAAGGTTTACAACAATCAACCAGATTTATATATATATATATATATATATATATATATATATATAAAAGGGGCCGGGGGGAGAGAAAATCAACCATCAAGCAGCATGTAATGCAATCATGCTATAAAACAAAACGGTCTATCCAGATGTACTATGAAGGTTTATACAGACTTAAAGGTCATGCGAAATGGATGAACGTGCAGCAATATACAAAGCAACATGCTAATTACCAAGACGTTCAAGACCTTATACAAAGTTGGTGTCATTAAATAGTTTGAGAGGCAAGTCGTTCCAGTCCCTAATAGTGCGGGGGGAAAAGCTAAACTTAAACATATATTAGTACGCGCAAAAATGGGTGTTAGTGAAGACTGATGTCTGTGCCGCGTAGATCTTCACTCTAAGGGTGGAATATATTTAGGATTGTTCGTTTTCGAGTAAAGCCCGATTTTACCCGATTTTTACTCCCCGAATATGTTTCAGGAAAATCAGGTTAAACCCGATTTCTCCCCGAATTCCAAAACGACATAACCAATTATAGACTTGAGCGTGTTGGTAATCTACATTGAATTAAAACGAAAGAAACACACAAGAGGACGAAACAGACGACACAGCTTTCGAAAGCTGTGTCGTCTGTTTCGTCCTCTTGTGTGTTTCATTCGTTTTAATTCAATGACATAACCAACCTCTTTATTTTTAAGCCGCACAGGGTTTGCCGTGCACAAATGCTATCTACAATGCTTCGCGACAATAGTGACCTGTAGTTCATTTCGTAAGCGGCGTGCAGCACTGTGGACGCTACACGGCTCTCAACCAACCGCCCAACGAGCGCGCCTAACTCACCGTGGCATTCTACGGAGGCCGGCTGAGGAAAAGCGACAATAGGCGTTGGGGGCTCGGAGGGGGTTGTTTTGGTTCCCGGACATTTCATAGAACGCCGTTTCGTCAAACGCCGTTTCGTCAAACGCCGTTTCGTCGAACGCCGTTTCGTCGAACGCCGTTTCGTCGAACGCCGTTTCATCGAAAAAATGGACGTTTCATCGAACGCCGCTTCATCGCACGCCGTTTAATCAAATCGCTGAAGGCCGTTTCATCGAATCTTTTAATTAAAAAGTGTGAAAGGTGTTCTTTTATGCACGGATCGAGTGCATTTTCGTGTCATTCACCCATTTCATCGTCAGGTTTTTTTTAATGTCCAAACTTGTAGCTGTTACAATTTATTTTGATGCAAGTAACCCCTAAGGATATTTGTACTGATCTTTAGGTTTGTTTCGCACATTGTGCTTATCTGTTCACCCCCTCTGTATTACCCAATGGGCCTTGAGGTATTGTAACAAATATATAAAAAGTCGCACTCCCGGTAAGAGCGCACTCCAACTCATGGAAGCCAGAAGGTGACTTAGGTTTTGTGCAGGCGCAACAACTTTAGCTAAGGGACCAAGTGAGCCTCCTAGCCTCTCATGTCTTTTTATTGATACTTTTTTGCCCGAAGCTTGCAGTAGCTAAAGCTGAGGTGATGTTTATAAAACTACAATGAAACATTTTTTTTTTTTTTTAGTTTTAAGACTCATCGAAGTCAAAAGTGAGTACGTCACTTCAAAGTTTATTTGAAAACTTTCGGGGGTTCATGTGTTCGGGCGACAGCCATTCACCGTTTCAAATGATGCGCAATTGCTCTCAAAAAGTTCCCTACAGCCATGGTCCGTCGGTTCTCATAAAAAAGGCGGACCTTCTCTTTCCTTGCCGCTATGGCCATCTTCTGGCGAGGAGGCTCTTGAGAACTCAGCATCGCCTCCAGCTTGTCTTCCGTCAGTTGATGTTCTGTGGCGATGCAAGTCAAAAACTTCCAGAACCTGGGATGGGCATCTCCGACCAGCTTCAGGAAGTGGGAATGCCACCCTGGCGTTCGATAAGACTGCGTTCGATGAAACGGTGTTCGATGAAACGGTGTTCCATGAAACGGTGTTCCATGAAACGGTGTTCGATGAAACGGTGTTCGATGAAACGGTGTTCGATGAAACGGTGTTCGATGAAACGGTGTTCGATGAAACGGTGTTCGACGAAACGGCGTTCGACGAAACGGCGTTCGACGAAACGGCGTTCGACGAAACGGCGTTCGGTGACATGTCCGGTGCCACTCGGAGGAGCATTTCCGTCCCCCCGCTGTGCAGGTGGAACCGCCTCGGCACGCCGCATGGCTTGGGCCCTGCTGCACGCAGCTTGTGAAATGCACTATCAATCCCCCTTCAATCGCTGAGGTGTCGACGCCCAACAGGGTCTCTAGGGTAGCATGGCCATCGCGCTGACGTCCAACCTTTCTCACGAACAACGTTCGAGCCAGTCAGTCGCGTAAACAGATCGGGAAAACTGAACAAGTTTATTTCATAGCGAAATATCTGATCGAAGACGACCGTTCCTCGAACGGTCGGGATTTTTGTTGGCACCTGAGAGGGAGGAGGATTTTTTGGGCGGTACTTCCCTTGAAGCGACCGACGGCAGTCGAAGCTGGAAAACCTTGAGGTCCCCCCCCCCCCCCCACCCCCCACGCCAGTTACCAGCCTGAAACACATTCCTAATTTTAACGCGTTAGCAATAAACAGCTCGTAATACCCTCCAATAATAAACAAAAAAACTAATGTATTATTGAGTACATTCGTGTATTTAACCCGAAAAAACCCGAATTTACGAATGTTTCCTAAAAAAAAAAAACAGATTTCTCCCCGATTATCAGCCTGAAAAAAAGCACCCGATTTTTACCCCCCGAATTTAGAAAAATATAAAACCCGAAAACGAACAACCCTAAATATATTGCAATGGGTCTATGCGAGTCTTTCCTTGTTTAAAATGAAACAAGAATTTTAATCGTGCAACACTTTCTTCTGGTCTGAAGAGTGTGTATTCCGTTAGCCTGTATGAGTTGAGACGGGCAATCGAGCCTTCTATATTTCCGTAAATGAATCGAACCACTCGACGTTGCACCATTTCCAACCTCCGGATGTCTTTCTGAGTTAATGAATCCGAAACGACATTTCCATACTCCAACTTGGATCTTACTAATGAATAGTAAGCATGTACCTTAACCTGAATTTGGGCGTCTTTCAGCTTTCTTCTAATGAAGGCCAACTTCCTGGATGCCGAGGCACAAATATGGTTTATATGAGGAGACCAGGAAAGTGTGTCAGATATGTTTAAACCAAGATATTTACATTCCTGCGCTCCACAGTAACCGGGGTATCCGCGATCTTATAAATGAATTCAAAGGGTTGATTTTTAATTTTGGTAATACGTAAAAGTGTTGATTTAGCAGAATTAAGCTTCATTTTCTAAATATTACCATGATAGAACGGACTGCAAACTATGGTCTAAAAACAACTGATCCGAGCTCGACTTTATTTCTTTGAAAATAGTGCAATCGTCGGCAAAAAGACGTATATGAACAGCTGTGTCAATCATTGACGCAATATCGTTTATGTACACCTGCAAGAAAAAAAGAGAACCTAAAAGGCTCCCTTGGGAGACCCCTGACGTTACAGGCAGAACTGGAGAGAGACAGCTTCCGACGGAAACAAACTGTGTGCGATGGAACAAGTATGCAGCAATCCAGTTAGAAAAACCATGTGGAAGACCAAGTTGTTTAAGTTTAAAAAGCAATTCTTCATGAGGCACCTTATCGAAAGCCTTGCTGAAGTCCAAAAAGAGCACATCAATTTGACTTCCCCTATCGAGGATTTGCGCAAACTTATGGATAATAGTAATGAGTTGGGTCGTA